TACCCATATTTTCTTCACCCTGGGAACTTTAAAGTTGATGGCCCACCACCCCCAAAAATCCCCAACCCACCATGGCTGGCTGGGGAATTCTGGGAGTTGAAGTCCACTCATCTTAAAGTTGCCAAGGCTGAGAAAAATTGGTCTAATGTGTGGTCCAGGATACTGATGATATATGGAAAAATTGTAATCTCCATGTCATTTTCGATTCCATGTATGCATACTTGTATCTGATAAACTTATTTAACTCTTTTACTTATTCCATATGTCTTTCATCCTTCATAGTTCAAAATTTTTTAAAGGAAGCTTAATTTTGAAAAACGTTGTTCACCAGACTCTTCATGGCAGATGGATTACTCAAGAACAAATATAGACATCTTGGGAATTTGCTAATAATGTCAGGTGTCACAGCTACCAAACATGATATAGTTGTATCCTTAAGATGCAAGGATAACTTCAAAGAGAAAAATACTGTCCTTCTCACCCCTTCCCATAGCTTACAACCCGAGGGAAGGCCTTGGATTTCCTTCAGTAAATGCCCAATGAAACCATGCAGCTAGTTCTCCAGGTAGAGTTCTCACTAATGCAGCCAGAAGAAGCATTGCCAACACACGCCATCTCCTTAAGTCCACCATGACCTTGCATTTAGTCCACGACAGAAGTGCACCTATCAAGAGCATCAGGTAGCAGACACAGAAGCTTCTGCCTTGAGCATCTGAAATCAGTGGTGTCTGGAGGGGGAGGGGGGACTGTGTGGTCAGGGCCACTGTCTTGAAATTTTTGACCCTCCCCCCTGCCCATGGACCCCTTGATCTGAATGAGGCTACAGGAATGCCGGTCTTCTCCAACCTAATTTTTTTTAACAGCTCTCCAGAATGGCAGCAGAAAAAATGGAAGTTCCTTTCGTTTTCAACTGCCCAGGGCAACTTCAGAGGCTAACGAGACAGATAAATAACAGGTTGGCATCAGAAATGCAGTGTGGATGCCAAAGGTAGGTTCAAAGCTAGATATTAGGATTAGTGCTCTAGCCCAACGTAGAGATCTTGGTGCCCTCCAGATGTTCTGGACTTCAAGCACTATCAGTCCTAGGCAGCACTGCAAAGGATTGTGAGAGCTGCCATGCAAAACACCTGGAAAGCACTAGAATGGGGTTTATTATATTTGTTGATTGGCCAAATGTAATACAAATTCATTCATTTGTTCACTAGAATGTCCAGCCATGCTGTAGCCAATGCATCACTAGATTTGCTGACGTGATTAGCAGATATGAAAAGTTTCCTTCCAGTGTACAAATAACTGGGCCTGAGACTTCCAAGCTGTATGTGCCATCTGGAAATGCATTTCTGCTACCAGTCTTTGGAGTAAATTGATATTACTGAAATTGCTTCCTTCTCCCTTGTTTTTTGCTATCCTGTAACTTTGGTGTTTCCATTGCTCGCTGCTGGATGAAACTTTTCTGTTTTATGCATATGGGTATAATATGTCTCTGCCTGAAAAATATATTGGCATACACATGCAAGAGACAAACTATTCCTGATTCTCCTTTGGTAGCTCATCCTCCTCCGTTCCTTGTCTCCATCTCCCATTTTCCATGCCTCAGCAGTGATATCCCACACCTGGGAGGACAAGGTCTTTGCTAATCTCAGCACATACACAATCTGCAGCAGCCAACAGAACAGCAACTCTTGGGTGGAAGATTCAGGAGTGGTTCAGCCTAAGGAAGTATCCTGGCAGGAAAGGAGCAGGATGGTTAGTTGAGATGCCAGAAACGGATGGGCTTTAGGGATGACTCATAAACAGCTGCTCACTTGTCAAATCTGTCTCTAGGTCAGTGTTTCTCAACCTTGGCAACTTTAAGAAATGTGGGCTTCAATTCCCAGAATTCCCCAGGCAGCATGCTGGCTGGCAAATTCTAGGAGTTGATGTCTACTTACCTTAAAGTTGCTAAGGTTGAGAAACACTGACCGAGGTGACCAGGCAAGGAAGCTTTACAACTTGGTGGCGATTTGGGCCAGTACTTATTCCAAGTTCTTGGCAAGGCAGGTCAGATCAGATGCCTTCATTTGGCCCCTCTCGCCATCCTTATCATTCCTGGCGCTGTCATCTTCCTTTGGGCCCAATCCACATGACGACTGAAAGTAGGAGAATCTGCTCTTTCTCCTTCTCATCTATGACAGCTTAGCAAACCAAGGAAAGGAAAGGGAAGATAAAGAAGCACTGAAGCAAAGACAAGAGACAGAACTACAGGCCCCCAGAAATGTAGCCTATTATCTTTGACCAAGTTGAACCATTAGTCCATTAGAAACTACATGTTGGCTGGCTTTGGCAACTTGCTTAATTTAGTAACTGAATAACTATTTTCTGTATTCATACCATCAAGAATTGCAAACTAAAACCAAACAGGCTGGGTTCAAATAACACAATAGGCAAAAAAAAAAAAAGGGGGGGGGATGGGTTAATTCTAACTCACTCCAACATGTCATGCAAATACAATCACTCAGCTTGTAACTGACAAGGCTGCGCTCACTTTAAAAGTAGTGCTTCCAATTTCATGCAACTGTAGCACCTCTCTGTTCTTGATTAAAGCAGCCCATCTTTTTTTTCAGGCTCCC